GTAGCCCCCTCCATGCTTACGGTGAGAAATACACATGCAGAGATAATCCGTTCACCCACACCGCGTCTCACAAAGACATGGCGGTTGGAGCCAAAAATCTCAAATTTGGACTCCAGACCAAAGGACAAATTTCCACCGGTCTAATGTCCATTGCTCGTGTTTCTTGGCCCAAGCAGGTCTCTTCTTCTTATTGGTGTCCTTTAGTAGTGGTTTCTTTGCAGCAATTCGACCATGAAGGCCTGATTCCCACAGTCCCCTCTGAACAGTTGATGTTGAGATGTGTCTGTGACTTGAACTCTGTGAAGCATTTATCTGGGCTGCAATTTCTGAGGCTGGTAACTCTAATGAACTTATCCTCTGCAGCAGAGGTAACTCTGGATCTTCCATTTCTGTGGCGGTCCTCATGAGAGCCAGTTTCATCATAGCGCTTGATGGGTTTTGCGACTGCACTTGAAGAAACCTTCAAAGTTCTTGACATTTTCCATATTGACTGACCTTCATATCTTAAAGTAATGATGGACTGTTGTTTCTCTTTGCTTATTTGAGCTGTTCTTGCCATAATATGGACTTTTACCAAATAGGGTGATCATCTGTATACCCCCCTACCTTGTCACAACACAACTGATTGGCTCAAACGCATTAATTAACTTTTAAGAAGGCCTGTTAATTGAAATGCATTTCAGGTGACTACCTCATGAAGCTGGTTGAGAGAATGCCAAGAGTGTGCAAAGCTGTCATCAAGACAAAGGGTGGCTATTTGAAGAATCTCAATTAAACATTTTATTTTGATTTATTTAACACTTTTTTGGTTACTACATGATTCCATATGTGTTATTTCATAGTTTTGATGTCTTCACTATTATTCCACAAAGTAGAAAATAGTAAAAGTAAAGAAAAACCTTGGAATGAGTAGGTGTGTCCAAACTTTTGACTGGTACTGTATGTCAAATATTCAATGTATTTGTCAGATGAGGAATAGATGCACCAAAGTGGTTTCATATGACACATTGAATGTGGTCAAGGTCTGTTGCGGGCTGTTGGTCTGAACAATAGAACAATTTGAGTAATTTATTAAATATTTCAACTGTTAGAAATGTATGAAGAATTGTAAGAGGCACTCATACCCCACCCTATTCTATAAGGAGAAACATCTGAAGTTTGGACCACAAAAGGGTGCGCGTGTGTGTGTATAAGTGTGTTTGAGAATCTTGGATGAATAAGTTCATTAACCATGTCAAGTTACAGATGTCGTTGATTTTTTGCATAAAGATATACTATATTTGTAATTAAGCCTGCTATTTTTAGAGGGAGTTTCCTTTTATGTATTTGTTGTCTTCCTTCTAATATGAATGGTCTCTTACCTCTGGCATTTTAGTCAGACGTGTATTTAATAATAAATAAAATAAGTTCTGTAAAACTGCCTGTCTGTTGATTCATAAAGCGTCTCAGAATAGGAGTGCTTTTAGATTATAATGAATACGATTATATGGGCAGTGGGGACCTGATCCTAGATCAGCAATCCTACTCGGAGACGGTTTATGAATACAGACTTTATGTGTTGTTCATCTCATAGTGATATGGGCTATGTCCCAATTATCTGGTATTTCCTCCCAAAAGTGTGCACTTGTTCACTTCACTTCCCTTCACTGATTTGAAAGGAAATTACTGGTATAAGAAATAAGGTGGAAACTCCAACTAGCCCATGCCTCCACCAATCCAATGCTTTTAGATTTGTGGGAGTGGTGAAAGAGTACACTTCAGGGGAAAGGAGATTTGATTGGGAATCACCAGAATTCTGAGAATTGTATCTACATTCATCTTCCATGTGGATGATTTCTTCACACTACACCCAGATTATTCCTGTCCACAGGTCTATATAAAAAAAGACATCTATACCACAAAAAAATGCAATGTTGCTTGTTTTTAACCATACAGGAAGCTTATGCAATGCTACATTCAAATATTCCTTCCTTTTTGGTTTCGGTTGCTGACCAATAATTTACATATTTACGATGTAAATAGTTTGTATTTGAATAATTTTTCAATGTTGGTGCCTCAGACACCTCAGACCCTCAGATATTGACAGCGTTTTGTTTCCATCATTTGAGCACCCAGAGTAACTCCCTGCAAACATTCAATAAACCTCTGGATTTTCAGAATTTGTTCACCGATATCGAGATGGATGAATTGGACTTATATCATAGTCAACGGACCTCTGGCTATTCTCAACATATTAGCCAACTTGTTTTTTGCTTTTTGCCTCTTCTGTCCACTGCGAGGCGGAGAGGGACTCAAACAGCCTGTGAAGTTACTCCTGGGATTCTTGGTTTGCTGCACCACAATTTTCCTGGTCTCTCTTATCATGTTCGAATGCATGTGGCTACTCACTAACAGGAAAGGGATCCTGTATTTAGATATGTTCGTGTTGTTCACTGCATTTACCAGCATGTCAACCTCTGTTTGGCTGAATTTTTTCTACTACACCCAGATCGTTCCAGCCCAGCGAGCTCTCTTTATCTTGGTGAAGAGGAACATCAAAATCATCATTTACTGGGGCCTGTTTGTCGACAGAGTTTTCTTTCTGTTTGACTTGGCTGTTAGTATATTTTATGGTCTCATCAAGGGAAACGATAACAACACTTACACGAACGACACTGTTTCTGGTTTTACAGATGGACTATATTACACTCACCTGGTGTTTTTCTATTCCAAAATAATCTACATGTTTTTTTGTCTGTGTCTGATGGTGGGGTCGAGCTGGGTCACAGTGTGCTACCTGCGTAGACACATGAAGAGCATGAATGAGAGCGGCAGCCCCTTCTCCTCTCCCCGCCTGCACAGTCAGATGAGGGTCACCATCACTGGGATCCTGCAGGGAATTCTCTACTTCCTTTGTGCTCTGTGGATCTTCCTTAACCGTCTTCACATCAAATGAATACTTCTCTATAGTCTTCAAATATAATAATTTCTACACTGTTATCTCGCTCTACATGTTTGGAACCACTGTTAACCTGGGTATCAGTCAGTCTGTTTTCAGACAGACGGCAGCTGATATTTGGCTCAAAGCCCAACAGGCTGTAAGGTCTGTTGGGTGATACTGTCACTGTGGTACTGTAATCTCTCTTGGGCAGATGCACGTAACATAAATGGTAGTAGCATCTGTCGACGGACTCTGGGATGCAACGACTAACAAGGAACTTTGTTCTGGTACGCAGATTTTTTGTCACTGATCATTTGGACATATCACGATTTCGCAGGTGCTCGCATCTTTTGAATTTCGAAAGGCAAGGGGACATTTGGCCGCAGACTTGCCCAAAACTTGCTGAGAGTTTCAGTTTAGAGGGGTGGAGACTTCGCTAGTCTCATTAGTACATTTTCAAACACGTCTCCCCCATAATTTAATTGACAATCTGACGCAATTCCGAAATATTTTTGTTCTGGGTGTCCGAGATTAACGGAATTTTGACTACAACCACAAATATAAAATACAGCTGTATGACATTAAAGTAATCACACAATCCCAGAACTAAAATCACGTGAAATGGCGTCAGCTACTCATTGCGCACGTCTGTCCATGAGAGATGAACATTTTAAAGGGGTAGTTAGTTCACTTTATTTAATCTTGCCCATAATCTAGCTATAATGTGATAACCTGTTTTCTCTTATAGGGTTTTTTCACACTTAGTCCCTTTCAGCCAACTTTTGTGCAGTGTGAACACTCAGACCCCTCAAAAGTGCCCCAAAAAGTGAACTGAACTGAGACCATCTCGAGAGGTGGTCTGAGTTCGGTTCGCTTGATTTCCAGGGTCCGGTTACCTTTTTTTTATGTGAACATAAAGCTCCCCAGGGATAGAGGAATGTGTAGTTTTGGTGGAAAAAGTTGTGTTTGTCAACTGTACAGTGTCCATGTTGCTTGGGATCGGAATTGCCCGGTGCGAGAGAGGCAGGTTGGCAATGGTCAGAGTAGTTCAGAGGGTGTCATATGCTGAGGCAGTGAAGAAACTAGAGAAGGATGGGCCAAGGTTGAGGGATCCTGAGAGGATCTGTGTGAGTAGTAGATCTGTGCTAGCACAGAGGGATAGGCTAACGAGTGATGTATGCTTCATAATTGTTGGCTTCTTAGCGTTTAAAGAAATGGGTTATAGAAATGGTTATAATCACCATTGGCGTCGGCTAATGGTTTTCCTAATAAGAAGAGTTAAGTGGTGGTGTCCCATCCTCCCGGACCATTGGCATGGTGTAAAAGCAGATAGGGTCAAAGTAGTGGAATGGGGTAGTGGGTTTTCAACGAGTGTAGGGTTAGTCAGAAGGGTGACATTTTTTTGTTTGTTTGTTTTACAAACTGTAATGGATTTACACTCCAGTCCAATTGGTGGCGGTAATGCACCTTATGATTGCCAACCGCCATTTAACAACCAAAGAAGAAGAAGAAGAAGAAGAAGCAGAAGAAGCTCCACAGGTTCGTTTGTCATTATTCCCATTCCCGCAGCACACACTAGACTGATGTTGTACGTGTGCTGTTTTTGGATATTGATTTGCTATTGTTTAGGATGCACAGAAATTCCAAAATATGTGTGGATTATTAGTTCAGATTATTTGTTTGCAATATGTGATCTATAGGCTAAGAGAGTTTCATAAACAGTTTATTCGATATTGGGGTTTGAATAGTGTGAGAAGACAATTTATTTGGTGAGAATCACACAAAATCAATTCTAGCTGTTAAAGGGGCTGTAGCCTACATTGGGTGTACAATTTTCAATTCCAGCAATATTTAATCTGCAGTTATTCTTCTGCTTTTTATTCTGTTACTAGTAATATTGACATGTTAATAGTACCTTCTGATTACAATTATTGTTTCATCTTTTAACTAAATGCAATCTATTAGCTTCCAAAGTGTAAGTAGGTATCTAGCTGTCCGATAGCACATTCTGATGGAATGGCTTGTCCTGCATTTTGTAAAAACCCAGAGTGTATTGAGTGAATGTTGGAAAAAGATCTTGGTTCCTTTCTAAACATAGCGATGTGAATGCAAAGAGGACAGACCAATGATGGCATATAACCTAATTTTAATGGTGCTTTATGAAGCTTATGTAAAGTTCTTCATTAACATTGTTTCCATTTTAATTTGTTAAAGCTCATTCATTTCTGTATCTACGATGTAAATATGTTACACTACATTTATTTTGTTTTCTTGTTGCCTGAGCGAGACATCCCTGAAATCCCTGGCTCTGGTGGGGTGTTCAGCATTTTAGCACCTGGAAGCTGATTTTTTTCTACTAATCCCAGATTGTCCCAGCCCAGCGAGCACTCTTCATCTGGGTGAAGAGGAACATCAAAGTCATCATCTACTGTGGCTTGTTTGTCGAAAGCCAGTTATTTTTGTTTGATGCTGCTGTTAATATTTCAGTAGTTTTTCTCATCAATGCCTCTGGAACTAACAGCACACCTCAACGCATGACACTGCTTCTGGCTCAAATGGACTGTGTTACACAAGGAGGCATGTCTTTATGTGAAAATGATCTTTGTCATGAAAGAGAGCGGAAGCCCCTTTTCCTCTCCCCGACTGCAGAGTCAGATGAGGGTCACCATCACTTCCTTTGTGCTCTGTGGATCTTCACTGATTTCTTCAGCTGGAAACCTTCGCCGATAATGACACCTTGACTTCATAGACATTGCCTCAATTATTCCTCGATTATGGTTAATAATCTTCATCTGGAAATATTGAATCATAGACCATAGGCTAAAGATTAAATCTGGGATTTTGCATGTCCATGAAATTAAATGTTTAGTTCTTGGTTTATAAACCAGTGTAAAATCTGCACCTGGTTTTGGGCGATTCCACGCCAGGAAGGCCCAAAAATAATTTTGGTGTCAGATTGTTCTGCCAATTCTCACATAGAAGGATGTTTGATACACATTTGTATCACAAAACATTTTGTTTAAAATCACAATGAAAGTGGCCATTTGGTGGCCAAGTGGCCAGTATACCCTGTTTAGACCTATACATGCCCCCTGTAAAACCCTATAATCCCTGAACCATACATGACACAGACACCATCTTGGTGTCAATAATATACTCCTTATAGTGTGCTCTAAAATGTGGAGTATGTTTAGATTCTGAAATACAATTTTTCACATTAATTAATTATTTGGTTCATTTTAAGACATTGTTTGGAACAATATACTGTACAAGTACATCCAATTTACAGAGTGGGTGCTCTGCTACTTTTTAAGTTATGATACATTTTATTAGCACCACCAATACATTTAATGGAAAACTTGATTCAAAGGGAACTCCCTCTGCTGGTGATTTGCTAAATGTGATTGGTTAATAACATATAATGTCAATTTCTATGTATAAAATGCATCATATCTTCAAAAGTAGCAGCGCATCCACTCTGGATATGTGACGTGTTTGTAGAGTATATTTTTCCAAACAATATGTTGAAAAATAAGTTAAATCAAAAAGTACTTTTGAGATATTCATATTAATATCTTTAAATGTTGAATAAATTAATGTATTATATTTTATTTCATAATCTAGACATACTCCATATTTTAGAGCACACTATGAGGAGTATAATGACACCCATACATTGTCTGTATCATGTGCGGTTCATTGATCATTGCGTCTTACAAGAGGCACATTTGGTCTAAAAAGGGCCTAAAATGGCAACTTTCATCATGATTTTCTCAAAAATGGTTTCTGATACAAATGTAAAAAGCATGTCAAACATTCTTCCTCCCAATTAAGTTTCTATATGAGAATTGCCAGAACAATCTGAATCGCCCATTTAATCTGGGTCTGTGAAACTGGTCCATTGAGTAGGCTTTAATGTGATAATTACCCTTTCTCTTTTACAAATGTCATTCTATTAAGCAATTTATCTATTTATATATGTTTTTATTTAGTATTACATTTTTACTGTTTTTGGTTCATGTTTCTGCATTGTGATTTCCATCTATATCTGAGATGCAAACAGGTTATGTACCTTTGAACATGTTTTCTTACCTCAGACCTGTGATATTTATTTGGTTTTTCATCTTTGTCCTTCTTCCATGGACTGTGATATGAGCATAGATTTCACTTCAACAAATATAATCTGTTTAGCAAATATGAAGATAACAATGCATTTCCTTGCTGTAAATTGACCTATACACTGAGTGTACAAAACATTAGGAACACCTTCCTAATATTGAGTTGCACCCCCCTTTGCCCTCAGAACCTCTACAAGGTGTCGAAAGTGTTCCACAGGGATGCTGGCCCATGTTGACTCCAATGCTTCCCACATTTTGTGTCAAGTGTCCTTTGAGTGATGGACCATTCTTGATTCACATGGGAAACTGTTGAGCATGAAAAACCCAGCAGCGTTTCAGTTCTTGACACACTAAAACCGGTGCACCTGGCACCTACTACCATACCCCGTTAAAAAGCACTTAACTTCTTTTGTCTTGCCCATTCACCCTCTGGCACACATACATAATCCATGTCTCAGTTGTCTCAAGGTTTAAAAATCCTTCTTTAATAACCTGTCTAATCCCCTTCATCTACACTGATTGAAGTGGATTTAAGTGAAATCAATAAGGGATCATAGCTTTCACCTGGAATCACCTGGTTAGTCTATGTCATTGAAAGAGCAGGTGTTCATAATGTTTTGTACACTCAGTACCATTTATACCATGGCATTGTTGAATACATGATTCTGATTGGCTAGAAGGGAATTCTAGAACATGGATTATTTCCCTATAATGAATGGTATAATTCAATGGTTATAAAGTTCATTCTTACATGTTCTATGTTTGAGCTGCTTTTGAAAGCAAACGTGGAATTGAAAATATTATTAATTTGAACTTGTTAAAAAAACTTGCATGAAATGTGTGACTCTTAGTGTGTGAATTTGTGCTTTTGGTTAGTTTGTAACAAAATGTACTTGTTTAAAAAATAATTTTTATTGTGTGAAATTGTTTTTTTGGTGAATTTATAACTGATTTAAATTGTTTAAAAAAGACGCATCGAATATGTGACATTTACTGCATGGTTCATTTGTAACAAATGTATCTTAAAATGTTTTTCATTTTTATGTGTGACTTTTCTTTGTGTGCTCAAAAAATAAATAATATAGAACAGAGTAGGCTATGTTGCCAGTCTTTTCATTGTTGGCTGATGGAGACTTCAGACAACCAATAGATCTTAGTGACATGGAGAACTATACAGTTGGTCTATTTGCTTCTGTGTTAAACGGCACAAATCACTTACACTACCGGTCCAAAGTTTTAGAACACCTACTCATTCAAGAGTTTTTCTTAATTTTTACTATTTTCTACATTGTAGAATAATAGTGAAGACATCAAAACGATGAAATAACACATATGGTCTCATGTAGTAACCAGAAAAGTGTTAAGCAAATCAAAATATATTTTATATTTGAGATTCTTCAAATAGCCACCTTTTGCCTTGTTGACAGCTTTGCACACTCTTGGCATTCTCTCAACCAGCTTCATGAGGTAGTCACCTGGAATGCATTTCAATTAACAGGTGTGCTTCCTTAAAAGTTAATTTGCGGAATTTCTTTCCTTCTTAATGCATTTGAGCCAATCAGTTGTGTTGTGACAAGGTAGGGGGTACAAAAGATAGCCCTATTTCGTAAAAGACCAAGCCCATATTATTCAAGAACAGCTCAAATAAGCAAAGAGAAACGACAGTCCATAATTACTTTAAGACATGAAGGTCGGTCAATACGGAACATTTCAAGAACTTTGAAAGTTTCTTCAAGTGCAGTCACAAAAACCATCAAGCGCTATGATGAAACTGGCTCTCATGAGGACCGCCACAGGAAAGGAAGACCCAGAGTTACCTCTGCTGCAGAGGATAAGTTCATTAGAGTTACCAGCCTCAGAAATTGCAGACACATCTCAACATCAACTGTTCAGAAGAGACTGCGTGAATCAGGCCTTCATGGTCGAATTGCTGCAAAGAAACCACTACTAAAGGACACCAATAAGAAGAAGATACTTTCTTGGGCCAAGAAACACGAGCAATGGACATTAGACTGGTGGAAATCTGTCCTTTTGTCTGATGAGTCCAAATTTGAGATTTTTGGTTCCAACCGCCGTGTCTTTGTGAGACGCAGAGTAGGTGAACGGATGATCTCCGCATGTGTGGTTCCCACCGTGAAGCATGGAGGAGGAGGTGTTATGGTGTGGGGGTGCTTTGCTGGTGACACTGTCTGTGATTTATTTAGAATTAAAGGCACACTTAATCAGCATGGCTACCACAGCATTCTGCAGCGATACGCCATCCCATCTGGTTTGCGCTTAGTGTGGGACTATCATTTGTTTTTCAACAGGACAATGACCCAAAACACACCTCTAGGCTGTAAAGGGCTATTTGACCAAGGAGAGTGATGGAGTGCTGCATCAGATGACCTGGCCTCCACAATCACCCGACCTCAACCCAATTGTGGTGGTTTGGGATGAGTTGGACCACAGAGTGAAGGAAAAGCAGCCAACAAGTGCTCAGCACATGTGGGAAGTCCTTCAAGACTGTTGGAAAAGCATTCCAGGTGAAGCTGGTTGAGAGAATGCCAAGCGTGTGCAATGCTGTCACCAAGGCAAAGGGTGGCTACTTTGAAGAATCTAAAATATAAAATATATTTTGATTTGTTTAACACTTTTTTAGGTACTACATGATTCCATATGTGTTATTTCATAGTTTTGATGTCTTCACTATTATTCTACAATGTAGAAAATAGTACAAATAAAGAAAAACCCTTGAATGAGTAGGTGTGTCCAATCTTTGGACTGGTACTGTACATTTCCTGCAATTCTATCCATTTTGACATGACTAATGCTGTGTTCTTATGCTCAAACATAACAAAACCAATGGGGGTATGATTGTCTAGCTTTTCTTTTGTTGATTGTAAGTTCTCAATTTATTATAGGCTATTATAAAAAAATATTCAGGCCCATTATATTTTCTACATACTTTCTATATGGCTTTAGTTGTTTAAGTTTACACTGAAAGCGTTTTTCCATTCCTCCTGGACCCCTGCCACTGCGATCAGTGGTGTAGTGGAGGGTAAAAACGCTAGAAAACCAGTTTACCCCCTTTTTTTTTTGCTTGACAGTCTACCCACCTTTTCCTGAAAAATGCATTCAAAGTATAGGGAGTGTTACTTTTTCACCGCCGATCAGAGTTTTTCCACCATTTTCTTTTACCAGTAGACTACAATGTTGGCCACGACCCACAAGTGGGTCCCGACCCACAGTTTGGGTACCACACGGCTGGGATGTGAAAGAATCAAGGATTTGAACCGAAATTGTGATACAATTATTTATTTATATATCATTGGATAAAACTAGAAAGTAAAAACAGTTCAAGGCTCTCATGCGACTGAATATTTGACTCCTGAGTGGCGCAGTGGTCTAAGGCACTGCATCACAGTGCTAACTGTGCCACTAGAGATCCTGGTTCGAATCCAGGCTCTGTCGCAGCCGGCCGCGACCGGGAGACTCATGGACGGCGCACAATTCGTCCAGAGTAGGGGAGGGAATGGCCGGCAGGGATGTAGCTCAGTTGATAGAGCATGGCGTTTGCAACGCCAGGGTTGTGGGTTTGATTCCCACGGGGGGCCAGTATAAAAAAAAAATATATGTATTCA